CATAAAGGTCCACAACATCAGTTATGCATTCAGGGTGATTATGAACGGATTAACCTTGATGATCCAAGCAGCTTTTCTCATCAGTGTTCCTAGTGATTTATGTATTACAGAGTGAAGATAATTTATATTAAAAACATTAGCAAAAGAATAACACTTCTTTTTAGAAAAATTGAAAAGATTAAAAGAAGTCTTAAAAGAAGTAAACAAGCTAAATAGCGTTACAGTGATCTAATATTATCTCAATAACATGTTCAACAGTAGAGCTTTTTATTGTTTATCTCTCTTACCATAGCTGTAAAATTGTTGCCACTTCCTGAGCAAGAGAGAAACAGGAAAAAAACTGACTCAACTCCATTTTTTTTTCCTGATGTGTATGGCCAAACTAAGTCTTATGAAGAGATTTGAAAGAAAAAAGAAATAGCCACTTGCCATGGAGGTAAAAAAAATTAATAAAATCAAATTGAAGGTTATTTCAGGTATCAAGGTGAAAAAATTCCAAAATCAAAACCTCCTAGTCTTTTAAAAAAACAGTGTTGCTTTTATGGTATCACAGTGATATAAGATTCTGAAGGGCTTCACAGGTGCAACTCCCAAAAATGGTCAAAGAGAAATGCTAGTTTAAAACATGTAGCTGAGTGGACCCTGATCCCCAGCTGAGGCTTACTGGTAATCGCTGGTGGTGTGATATTGACAGTTACTTGTTCTGATCAGTGCTGAGTAAATTACATCTAATACCTTGAAATTAAATTAGCTTTACGCTGAAGCAGTGCGTGCTTCCTGTATGATCTGAGAGAGGAAAATGCGTTCAAATGTCTGTCGAGAAGTACTGGAGGAGATTTATCTGGCAAAGCAGGGTATTGGACACCTAGGCACAATTTCTGACTCTGAAAAGCCAACAGAGATAACAGTGAAGTAGGGGTTTGGGGTTTTTGGTGTTTTTTTTGACAAATAGTATTAGAAAGAGAAGAAGTTGTATACGACTTCTTACTGATCTTGCCTGTCAAATTTCATTTGTATTTACACATATTGCTATAGAGATTTTTTTTCTTTTTAAAGTGCCTGTTACTATTTTAAGAAAGTCAAATAATTTGTAAACCCTCTGAATGCTGCAGTAGGAGTCAGCCTTTACTGACTTTGCTAATTTCCTTTATGGCCATCTACTATTATTATCTGGTTATTATGATCTTTAAAAACTGTGAAGAGTTTTTTAAATACTGACAATACAACTATAATGACCTTTATTAATATTTGTTAGAACAAGTATCATGTGCAGTTTAATTAGTTATTTAATGGATGTAGAAGTATTTGTGCTTATCTTTTAAAAAAGATGTATTATTAAAAATCTGAAGATGCGAAAGAATTAATACTTAAAGTTACCAAACACAAACTGTACGCAGCTTAATACCAAACAGTTTTGGAGTTTGTATTTTTTCATTTAGCTTATATTGGTTGGCTAGTAGACACTGTGCAAACAACATTGTTATTTAAGAAAACATCTTAAATCTACAAAAAGATTGGGAAATCTGAGAGAAGGAAAATTGTGCGTGTTTCTAGTAGATGAGCTTTGCAAACAACAGTAACTTGGGAAAGATTCTTTTTGATAGATTAAAAACTCTAGAAAGTCGTAGAATCATAGAATCATAGAATGGTTTGGGTTGGAAGGGACCTCGAAGATCATCTGGTTCCAACCCCCCTGCCATGGGCAGGGACACCCTCCACTACACCAGGTTGCTCAAAGCCCCATCCAACCTGGCCTTGAACACTTCCAGGGATGGGGCACCCACAACTTCTCTGGGCAACCGAGAAGGCAACCAAGTCTCACATCAGATATCAGTGTAGGCTCTACATGAAGCAGGTTGTGTGTTTTCTCTAAACTAAGTTTTGATTTCACATGTTCTGATATTTCAGGGCATAAGTCTTGTAAGGAGTAAAAGAGGACAACACTTGTGTGAAAGATATTTGGTGGCAAAGAGTTCAACACAATCCGTGGCAACTGTTTGCAATGAAAAAACAACATGTATTTTCTTTATTTGGAATGTGTATATATATATGATAATTTAGCAGCTAGCACATCTCCTACTTTTATTTCCTAGATTGAAGAGTTCGATGCACTGTTTTTTCTTACACATGTATGGATATACATAAAAGTATACAGGGTATGATTGTATTACTCTAACTCTGTCAAAAATAAACTCAATACACTTTGCTTCTGAAGACATTGTTTGTATCTTTCTGAATGATATGTTTCTTAAATCCTTCAAATCATTCTCATGATACTTGTTGGAGCGATCCCTTTTGTAAAATAATTCAGAACTTCAAAACCCAGAAATGAACTTTAGTAGTGGGAATTAGTTATCTTGGTGACAAACATCAGAGTAATTTTTTTGTTTCTGCTTCTTCATATGTACATCCAAGGACCACTTTGATTCTTTAAACAACAGGTTCTTCAGATTATCTTCTACTTCCTT